TATCATATTTATTGCTAGTATTATTGTAATTTCTCACACATTTCTGAAAATGTTATTTCTGGCACCACAGAAAACATCACAATGCGGGCATCCACCCGGACGGAAGTTGTGATCATGACCGAAGCAAAGTTCAAGGACTCAAAAATTCAAAGGATCAAAAGATCGAACCAAAAAATAGGAAGTGAAATTTTATGGCACTGGCAACTACTGACAAAGCTTATTACCTAACTAAACAATTACCTCTGCGGAAAAAGTGTTCTAACTTGCCAGATTACTGTCAATCGTTTCGGTAGGGCATCGATATTTACCAGCGATGATCTACAACCCCATCTTATGAAATATGTTATAAAAAAGGCCAAAAATTCATGAAATACTCCGTGATGCGCCACACCCTTGTCAACCACTTAGGACCAGTTTTTTTTCCGGATTGTACTTTTTTCTGCTGAGGGCCACTTCACGGCAAAAACAGCGTATGTCTAGGAAAATTTCGTCAACAATAGTGACATCAAAATACAAAGATTTGAAGAAAAAAGTATAGCGAAATGTACTTCTGGATGGAAAAGGGGGAAAAGTTCCCCATAGATAACCATCGATCGATTCAATGGGCACAGGTTTCCGCATTGCAATCTGAATCAGGTATGTGTCGCTGAGTGCACAACAAGGGGGTTCGTATTTATGGTTTCTAACGATGGCGGCCGTTTTGGTGAATGGTTCCAATTTTTAGAAAGCGGAGGTCGCATTTGCCGTGTTCATTAAATTCGTCATATATGAGATTTTTCAAGGGAATGGGAGAAGTGGCCGGGAATGGGAAGGTTGTTTCCGGAATTGCTGCCATGCCACGTTTTCGCCCGGTTGCAATGCCTCTTCCCCTACCCATCCTCGTTTTCAGCAGTTGCTGAAGCTGTGAATCGAGGGAGGAAGTCCCAAAGGAGAGCGCCTTGGCTATGCTGCTGCGGGAGCAGGAGGCCAATTCTACGGACCCTGTGGCTTACCCCATTGCTACTTCTAGCCTTATGTTGGCATTGTTTTACTTGGAAACAGCTCTTGAAAGCTCTTTACTACTACCAGTCCCACGTTTAAATCCAAAGAAACCAAGACCAAAGTACCATGACGTCACTACACGGGACAATGCCAAATGTGAGGTTGTTTATAGAAGGCATAAATAAGGATGAAAACCCGATTTCAACAAAACAAGAACGCATTTCAATCAATAAGTATGCTATGTCGTATAACTTCGTATAAAACAAACTTACGGACGCTCGACTTCAGTACAGCCAATAAAGAATCCTCATGTGGAAATTTCTTGCTTGACCAAAATGTTAGCACATCTCGAAAGACTCGTTTCCACGATTCAGCGACCTTTGCGCGGAACTTTACACAAGCCGCATAAATAGTTTCTGGAACATTCGTCGAACCATCCAATAACCCTGCCCAATTAATCACCTCAAAACCAAGACCTAGCGACGTTTTTGAGCCATCGGGGAGAACAGCAACCTGTAAATCTTCACAACACCCTATAAATCTTCTGGAAGAAAATCACGCTATCACGGAGCTGTTAGCTACCCGTAGAGCGAATGAGCGGAACTTTTTTTCCATTCGGTCGCGCTGAAAACCCTAAGGAGCGCAACCCCTGCCTTCTGAACCTCTGACCCCCAGAGGTCCAATTAAACCTCACAAAACCCTCTGCAGGTTCGATTAACCACACAAAACCCTCTACTTTCGAGCCCCTTAATCACAATCACAGGCTAGTTTCCTCAAATAGAACCCTACTATTCGTATTCCATCACCACGTCAACACAGCCAACTTGCTGTCCTTCACTGGTCATTTATCGCCGTCCGTAACCACCACTTTGATCAGCAGGTTCTCTCCCGCGTCACGGCACCATCGAACCATCACGCTCAGCACTCTTTTTACGACCCATCACCAACCTGTCCTGGACCTCATTAAATCAGACATCCGTCAGGCAGAGAATATTCACTCTGTTCGTTCCAGCAACACGTACGTACGCACGCAGCACACACACAAAATTAAACTGAACAATTTTATTCTTTAAAAGTGCACAAATTGATAATAGAAATACTTTATATCGATATATTAGCCAACAACACTATTGACTGTTATAATAGCTGATGTATGGAATTCTGGACTGATCAAGACGATGATGATGATGATGATGTGAACGAATGAACGGTAGAAAAAGGAGGAAAGATGATGATGCACTGATGATTGAAACAAACATGGACAGCTATGATACAACACATACATAATATATAATGAAACACAAACATAGAACCCTTTGTACACGCTGAAGAAGGCCCTAAGGAGTCTCGAAGAAATATATAATAATCATAATAAAACCTTTTACGAGTAAGAAGTAGTCTGTAAAACACAACGACGGCAACGCAAATGCTCTACACGCGCGTACAATACACTCAAGAAAGAGCGAATGAAGCGCAGCCCTAGGTGTGTGTATGTGAGGAGGAAAAGGAGGAGGAGGATGCTGATGAGATGATGAGGAAGTGGTGCAACGAGAATGACTTATTCTTGAGGATTGATTTCAATGGGATCATGATGATGATGATGATGATGACGGATGAATGAATGACTCTTCTATGTACAGATCACACTCAGGACTAAACACACACTAATACCGTATTCGTATAGGAGATGGAAGGATCAGGTTGATGGACAATTTGGTGTAGAAACATATCAACATAAAACTCTACTACGACAACGTGCACCTGTGATTGACAAGTATAAATGGGAAGGCGATGCGTGTCTGTGTTTAGTGGATCGGTAATGACGTCAGCAAACCTTGTTCCAAAAAGATTTTTAAATTTTTAAATCATCTCCTTAAAAAGAAGTTTTCTCAGCTGACGTCATCACCACGAGCGCTCCCAGCTCATCGAGTTCGCTTCGACTACACGAGCATCTACAGTGAGCCAGGGCACTCCCCATACAATGACAAGACAAGTGGGTGCAACAGGAGCACAAGGGGCCGCCGCGTCCGGGTATGGGACTTCTACTAAAAGCCCCGCCGCCGCCACCAACTGCAACTAGCGGGGCACAATGAAAACAAACGCGAACACGGTTCACATCTCGAATGGCATATGAATGAGGGACAGAGAAGAAAAGGATGAATGAATGAATGAATGATCAATGTTGATACACATTATCGTAATCATAAGAGACAAAAACCGGTTTGTGGATGATTGGCGATAATAAAGCTACACCGTTCGGACTGAGAGACACAAAATGCACATCAGAATGATCGACGAGAGACTGAGGAGCGGCGAAAGAGTGACATCGGGAGTCGATACAATAATAATTAAGAATTTAGATTATTTGAAAAATATAACAAATATAACACATACATATAACACAAACGAGATGACGAAGAGGTGCGTAATGATTAGGAATAGGATCGAACAATCAGTACAACCCGCTAGTAGAGATGACAGTTATGATCATCGAGATGGTATATGGGGGAACGGGGTGAGGCTGGGGATGAGAACAATGAGATGGACAGTCCCTGATGATGAACGAATGAAAAAACCCGGCTTCTACGCATAGACAAAGGCCCGTTGTGCGTTAAACGAGGCGCATGATGAAAAAAAGAGAAGAAATAGTTAAGGAAAAAATATTACACATAAAGGCAGCCGCAGCCACATCGCAATGGGGGTGACCGGCTTCAGAAATGAGAGACATTTGAGAACAGAAAATGCACTTTCAAACAAACATAGTACAGCTCATACAGATCACAGCATGAAGGATGAGCACCATGAACTTATACGGTCTCGTCGCACCTATCCCAAAATCTTCGCCTTCCACGACTTTTCTTAACCGCTCCGCGACCGCACGCGTCCCATATGCGTCATCCCTCATGCGGATAGGGATAGAGACAGATTGACAGATACAATTAGAGAGATGGGTACCCCGCATTGGAAATGAGACGATGATCACGATCGGAGATAGATAAATTCGACTTGAATGTAATTGTATCGACATGACTCGCATATTCAGATGTACTGTAATGTGGCTGTTAGGCCTTAGGCAATATTTTAAAATGACTAAATTCTTCCTTTTGCACACTCGTTATGGAGAAGACACCACTGTGTCAAGTCAGAAATGCAAGACTACCCTAGACACACTAAAACGCTATTACCCTAAGAGAAAAGACAATTTGAAAAACGGCTCCACCGCAACCAAAGTCATCACTGGTCATAAAAAAGCTAACTATACCATATACACCTAATGGATGACTGTAGCTGTTTACCGGAGCCGCAATACACGCTTGAAATTGAGGTTTCTGACCGTAGGCGGTAGGTCAGCAGCGTCATCGACAACACTAACACGTAACGACCCTAAGGTTCTAGGCTTACAAAATGGGGCAGTGAGGGGTCGACGCGATATAAACCGCCGCTGACCCTCCCAACCATCACAATTGACAATCACAAAACGATTTGACTCGACAGATAATTTGAGGGCTCTGGATGGGAAAAATTTTGGCAAACTGAGAACTCCTACACGGGGATTAGAAATTGCAAACAGAATTTGAAAAGTAAGAATATGAAACATTGATCACTATGCGACTATCATCATCAACCTACTAGAAGTTAGCGCTCAATGAGCCGAGCTGATCACATCACACTATACACGAGAACAAAACATCAACGAGTCAAAAAAGGGAGAGAATTACACCGAAAAACATCAACATGTGTGTGAGGACGACGAAATGACGAAAGGGACCAGTGTTGAGGAGAGATTGCCGCCGCCTGAGGACACCCACATGGGCACCCGACAGGTGGATATAGGGGAGAAACTCGGCTTTGAAATGCCAGAGATCGAACTAGAACTACACTATGCACATGAATGAGAAGGTAGGTAGATAATATAGACATACGTGTTGCAGACGGTTGTTGTATGGATGTTGTAGGGCATTGTCCAAACACACTTTCTGAGTGTGGACGTCGGAGAGCACTTGCTGGTTGGCGACACACTACGCCTGCAGAAGCACCTGTGATGGGAACAGATGCTGTAGTTCGAAACGGCTCAGGTTAGTGGCGCCGAACGGATCCACCGCACCAGCGTCCACTCCCCAAAGCGAGTCGAAGCGCGAGCCGACGCCAAATGACGTCGACATCGCACCACCAGACCACCAAGTATCCGACGAGCTGTAGCTATTGCTACCGCTCAGATCAGCTGTCGTCCAACTCCAACCGGCAAACGATTCGCCCAGAGCATCCTGAAAGCAGGAACAGTTCACAACACTGCTTTGAATGGATGAGAAAGGAAAAATGATAAAGGGGAAATGAGATGAAGACAGCGAGATGACGGATTCAAGATTTAGAGTGAAGGCTAAGTTCACGGCGCTTTCCTATCGTAATAATTTACTTGGTTCTGAGTAATTATACGGAAGCATCCTTGTCCATGAAATTAAACGGAACTGCGCACGTGAAACACCGCCGCGTCTTTTGCAAACACCTTTACCCTTCTATATTCACCAACCCTTAACAACATTTCAACGCAGTTTTGGCGTCCAAAAAGCCCCGCGTCCTCACCACCTTTTCGCCGAAGTTTTTACCAAGATTGAAATTGCATCCCTTCTTTTCTCGACCACTGCGGGCGGCCCCGATTCGTAGTGCAAACATTCGCGAGCGAACAAAAGTTGTTTTCCCCTCACTTTACGATCTTTCATTGCCACCAGTGTCGGATTGAAGGAGAAGATTAAGATGCATTAAATTGCTAGAAAAACGACCGCGACAACATCGGGCCCCGTCCTTAACGCGAGCGATAATAATGCGACGCACACAAAGAAATCTGAGTGAAAAAAACCCGCAGAACGACAAGTGCCTTCTACACATGAGAGAAAGATGTCCCTCGCGACGGTGATTGATTGCTGAACAAAGACCAGGAAATCAGAGCAGCTTTACCAGTAATCCTCTCGAATGTTTTACAACGCCGACTAAGCTTTCCTTTGTGAAGGATGTAATCTCATAAGCACTCATGACTCATTTCTCTTGTTATTCGGTTCTCAGGGATCGTTCATACTTTTTCATGCATTCACATAGAATATTAGTGAGTTTGCTATCATTAGAGCTGGCCAGTAACATTTTTTCCCACGAAAACCACCACATCTGTTGCTACCATAACCGCTTGGATTGCCTTAGCAATGTCATATGACGTCATGTCAGCTAAAGTGCAACTGTTCCATTCACTGCTATTATTTCCACCTGGGAATGTTTGGGCAATGTTCAAATATTTGGTTTCAGGCTAGGCATTGTGACGCCAGCAAAATGTGAAAAAGAGACTTCACACTCGTTGAAACCTCATACTTCGAAAACGGATACTTGCGTACTTCTTCAAATCGCCAAATACTTTCCTGTACAAAACTTCAATAGAACCCCACTATTACCGTAATGAAGCTGGGGATATCTGCGCACTGCCGACCAGTTCCATCCCCTAGACGCACCATCCGTTTTTCTACACACAATGTAAAGTCAAACCAGCAACTGCTAGTTATCGCTCTCTCCCGTAAATGCAATTTGCGGCACAAAACGGAGCCGCACGTCACGCGATGCTCAGCCTGCCCATTTGCCATGGCCGCCTGACTGCCTGCGTGGCAGAAATGGGAGAGGCGAGAGGGAGATGAGAATCGAGGAACTGTCGCCGCGGCGGGAGGCAATCAGCACAAGAGAGAAAGCAAGCAGGCGCAGTCGCGTGACGACGCCGATGAGCGGACAAAGCGCCTCGACAGCAGAATGCCTCGCGAGCAAACGATCTACGATGGCGGCCAACGACAAAAGAACAGACAAAAAGTGAGAAAGGGAGAGGATGAATGTAGAAAGGGACAATAGGCGAGAATGAATCACATGACACACCTGAATGGACTCAAAGATATCGAAGTCCGACTGAGCCAAGCTGCTGCCACCACCGCTTTTAACTCCGGTCGTAGAATCGTCACCACTCCACGACCAGGTCGCTGATGGCGCCTGCTGCTGCTGAACCATCTGGCACACCTCCATGTCGAGATCATCGGAAATAAGAGAAGTGGCCTCCTCAGCTACGCGGCGCTCCTCTTGCTGCGGAGGTGCAACCGTCGCAGTGACCGGGATGGATGCCACGGCACTGGTTGACGACGCGGTCGACGTTGCACCAAATGGCCAACGACGCTCGTCGACGTCCATACGTTCGCCGCAGCCTTCACCCATAAGGTTGCAGTACAACTCCTCGTCGTCCAACAGATCCAGATCGCGCTGCAGATAAAGAATCATTTAGCACAGAACGAAAGAAAAGCTCAGGACAGTCATCGAAACCAGCAAGGCTCACCTGGAGCTGCTTGACGGTGTTGTAGACGAGCAGATGTTTCCGCAGAGGCAGGTTGTTAGACGCGCGCATCTTGAGCAAGCTAGCATCAAGCAACTGTCGACGCTGCTGACGCTCAATCTCGCGCTCGGCCGAAGACCGCGACGACGAACTGAACGATAGAAAAGTATATTCAGTGGCATTTGAAAGAATTTGGCAACATGCATGCAGGCGATTCGAGAAACCTCATGACTCTACTTGTGGTTACTTCTTATCCATTTGATCTGACCGGCTATATGTACGATCAAACCCCACTAAGTCATCATGACATGTTCAGGTGCCTAATTGTCCAGATTACTGTACCAACCTCGATTTGATGGAGCTTATAGACTCCGCCGACGAAGAGAGCGGAGAGTAAAGTCGCTCCATCGGAGGCGAGTCGGCCAAGTCATCGTCCGTGGAATAGGGAGACCTGCAATAGGAACTTCTTTATAGAATTCTTTTCACTCTTGTAGTAGATCAAAGGTATTTTCTCTAAACTATCGATTCGACTACCCCATGTAGAACCAACTCACAGCGCCATTTGCGAAATCTCAGCGATGGCAGGGACGAGAGGTAGCTAAACAAATGCGGCTGAGCGCCTGTTCGGCTGCGTATTTAAAGGGTCACCCCGCACGTGATTCACAGAATGGGGGGAGGGCTGAGCGGCTTCGAAACCGATCAGTGGTGCCATTGTGAGAGTAGCGGAAAGCGACAGATAAGTAAACGATGGATACTGGCGAGACGGATGACAGGACAAAGAAGCTCGCGTCAGTCAATTTCCTGAGATATTGAATCTCCGATCAAGCATAAAACGTTATTCAATACGCATGTGGCTATCTTGAAGCTTTTTGAAGTCGTTGGAGTGTTCGATTCAATCAGGAATACTGTAGCAAAACCTACGCGAACTCGCCCAACCCAAACAGAGACATGGGGAGCGTTTGGGCGCAAAGGGATTGGGATGACCCGTGTCGTGTTTGTCCAGGCATCTCTCGTAAATCCTCCCTGTGACTCTATTGCGCAAGTTGACTCATAGGCAACAGATTTTGAGGGGACGAAATGGGGAGATTACTCACCCAGAGATACCCATTATGAAGGGAAACGAATTACAAACCTGAGAGAAATCGGTTGCGATGCAACGAATCGCGATGGCGGTGGCGTACTCGTCGGCAACTCGTATCGACAATCGTCATCGTCGTTAGGAAGTAGAATAGAGGAATGGGCACGTGAGTTAATGGATGCACATGACACCATGATGTCGACCCGAATTGGTTAAATACTCTGGAAATAATGTGACAATAATTGAAGTGGCTTTATAGAGCAACAAGATAAGAACGTTACTGAGAATACGCCCAAGGAAATGTTTATATAAATAAAGTGGAAGAAAAAGATACAGTAGGACTATAGATAAGATAACCGCGAGAACGTCTACGGGCAAAGAACAAACGAAATCGATATGGGGAAAGAACAGGCTCACAAGGAAACAGAGCGAAGCCTATTCATCTAGGCGTTTTCATGGAAACGCTAATACCACATCTAATTAAGCTAGAAGTAAAAATAGACCAAGTTAATATTAGCCTTGCTGCTGATGAAAATGTCAAGCTAATAAGATCCGTAAACTATTTGCTTAACAGACAACAGACAAAAAACATAAATGGGGAGGGAGCCCGAAGGAATTGGAGAGGAAAGAGGAGTGTGAAAATACTCACCTTGGACAAAAGAAAAGAAGTGTAAAGAGAAAGGGGAGGATGAACAGAACAGAAGATATAAAAGAGACAAGAAACAACCAGAAAACCACAGAAAAACCGAACCAGTCGAAAAGCCAGTTCGGGAAAAGAAGTGGAGCAATATGGTTGCTTTTATGAATAAGGAGTAATGACAATGGAAGAGAAAAAGTAAGAAACAAAGAAGTAATTCATCAACTTTCAATGAACAGGTAATAGAAATGTACTCGATATCAACAAAGAAACTTCTGGAAAGCCAAGTGCACGCCTCGCAGAGTTTCGCAACAGAATCCACCGCTGGGTAAGCCTGCACCCAACGAACCCACCGACCGTGGGACAATTCGTCGGGGCCTAGAATAAGCCCAGAGAGGGAGTGGTGGCCCGCCCCGTGCGGACAGGGTGTAGGAGAGCGCCAGAGAAACAGAAGGAACCAGTCGGCCCCGACTTCAGCACGACAATATTGATCGATTTGCCGGTCGATCGACAGCACCGATCCGTTTGGCGACGTGTTGACGGGGCCGCACGTTATCGAATCGATCGTGGAGCACGATAGTAGTCCACGAGAAACCCCCAGACGCCATCGGGCCTACGAAATTGTGGACTGATATTGAATTGCAGCCTCGAACATTAAAACTTATCAAAAAGGAGCCGTAGCAATCCAATAAACTGCATCAAATATTAATACAGTATCCTAGAGTAGCATAGAAAACATCGAGTGCATTTACAGACAGGCTCATTTACAAAACGCACAGCCCTACGTTTTCTTTCCAGGACCATATTTAGTCACTTTACCAGATTTAGAAACGAGTGAAAAACTTTCCGATTCTTATACATGAAATCATCTGAAACCCGTTGGTGTTATTCTAGACACAAAGGCCGTGAATAATCGACCGCATGGCTGGTCATGAATGGAACGAATGTGATTTGGGCGAGAGAACTGGTGAAGCGCACCAGTGCACAGCAAATGTGAATTGTGCGCTGTAGCGTGACAAATTCACAGAGGTGACACCGTCACTTCAGTTTGGGAGATCGCCCATGGCCTGTGCTTCGGGGAAATTGCCGGATCGGCGCTGGCCATAAATGATCGCTGCCTCTGGCTGATCGACTTTGCGGTGCAAATCGACAGTGGTTGGCAGATCATTTGGGCGAACAGAAACACTGCCTGTGGGGATTCTGAAGCCTGAGCCATAGTGAAGACGAACAGGACGACGACGGCGACTACGGCTACGAAGCCTGCCTTCTGAATCTTCGTATCCTCATCGTCGTTCGTCAACAACGCCACTCCTCGTCGATACGTGCTGGCGCTCGCTGGCGCAGCCGCCCGGTCGACTGCTGTGAATGCGCCCAACGGGGAGGCGGGACCTCGGCGACGACGAGCGCCGCCGCGCTACGGGGCCGCCCCCTCACTTCACGTCATCATCGACGTAAACACCCCGCACACACGCCTCAGCACATCTGAATGAGGAGAGTACGACGTGGGTCCACCATTGAACACTTCGAAAACACTTCGCAAGTACAGGTCCCGTGACTAGAACAGCAGGACTCGTGCAACACTGAAAAGCAAACATTCCCACGTCAATCAATAAAGATCGGGCTGTCGAGGTAGGGGATTACCTGCCCAAGGGACTCAGCACAGGTCTAATGATGAGATGCCTGCTCTAGAGGGTTATAATAGTCGTACGGTGAGAGAGCTCTGTGTATCCAATGGGTTTGAAAAGAGATAGGATTTGCCGATTCCAGACAAGTTTTACGAAACCTAAAGGGTCAGGGTATAACAAATTTTCGAGAAACTTCGACAAATACGGATCGTAAAGTAGTTAAAGAAAGGGCTTGGCACGGTTAACAATTCTAGAGGAGATGGGAAATAAGGGGCTTGGAACACTTTAGGACTGACGGAACCAGAAACATTGCAGTAAAAATAGCGCCAATTTGGCACGGGGGAGGGGTGTTGAAATGGAGAGAAACGTACTGCTACATGTTACCACCCACATTCTTTCCACCCAAGGGAAACCTACTACGGAGCGCAGTTGAACAGATGAGGACTGTCTAAATGAAGCCCGTAACGGAATCCTTACATCTTACTCTGGCGGGTGACGGGGGGGGGGACAGTATCTACCCCTGAAGCAGGGCAAAGGCCCAGCTAATGATATACAGGGGAAATCGATTCCTGTGTGTTTGGATGCGAATTTTCACAGCCATTCTACATCTCTACGCCATTTTCCCGTGCACGATATCTTTTTCCCTTCATTCAGCGCCATCAATAGAACACTTGGAAATGACGTGGAGAGCTTTCGTGTCATTATTCTTCACAACGTCCTATTTTCTCACCCACTGCAATGCATTTGTTATAAGAAGACCACCTACCTCGAAAACTCTAACAAAATATTAGTTTTTAAAATTAAAAAATCAATCTATAGGTTCAGTAGTAAGAGAAGTAGAAATAGTTCGATGGCTCAACTAATTGGTTAAATCGTAAAATACCTAATAATCGTGTTTACTTCATGATCGAATTTTCATTAAATATATTTAGAATTGCCCTAAAAAAGAATTTCTGAAAGAAACAGCCATAATACACCTTAGGCTTTAGGCCACCTTCGTGCCATTCCCAGGTGAGCTTTCATATTTTCTTTGAAATCCCCGAAAAATTCGCTCAAGATGCCCCGACAAAAACCCCAACAGGGTCCTTTCTCTGGGCACAGTTTTGACTGAAACTAAACCATGAAACGAATGAATTTCAAAAATAGCCCATTTCAGTTTATTTCAGTAGCTCCCCATTGCCCACTCCAAGTCCTGCTGGCCACCTATGAGAAACCGAAGAAAGTGCCGACAAATCTGGCCCACTTGAATACGTCAAGCCGCCCGTCGGCGACAACTAAAAACTTCGCGCCCCACTGCAATTTTACGCTCCAACATCAGATCCGATTCGAAATATGCTTAGGCGATAAACAATTTGGAAAACGCAAGTCAACAAGTAGACAAATTTGCTGACAACATCTGTTTCATGAGATAAAAATAGCTGATGGGAGCGCTAGGGAAGTAACTGAGGTAAACTAATCGCATCAAAATGCCACTACACCCACCCCTGGATTACATTACCTCACCATTTATGGCTAAGAATTACGATAAGCGCATCTTCTCAGCTGATTTTGTTGACGTCAACTGCATTACTCCGCTCAATCGCACAGTGTTAGCATTGGAAATTTGTTTATTTGCATAAAAAAATTCTATCCTAATTAAATCAAGTAGTTTGTATCAGGTTTTGTAAATATTATTAAGAAGACAATTTCTAGTGAGTAACAATATTGGTAAGACCTCATAATGAAGTACGGGTGGAAGAATCGAAACGCACTAATAGTGGGTGCGGCTTAAAGTTTGTTGATAATCACGTTACAATTAGGATGGTACTGATGTTCGTGATATGCTCTGTAGAGCGAATCGTTAGTTGAGTCGGTGATCGAATATGACTAGAGTGACCACTATTATTCTTAAATCACCAAGACTGCTGGGATCGCAATTAAGCTCTCCACAAGGATCTGTTTTCTCTATTGGCGTTAACGCGCATACTAATCACAAATATGTCCTCTCTGATTGCGTATCGCGTGATGTGAATATCTCTGTGATCGTCGACAGTTAGTCCTTTCGTAACTTCGAGAGTGGCAGTCGGCCTACTCGTCAGGGCAGACAAGTTATCTATGTCTAGGGCTGCTTGAAAATATCATTATATCAGTGTTTATAGAAGATGTGTTTGGCTGAGAGGTTGCTATGGTATTTATAGTATGATTGCGGTAGAAGTCTAGTATTTATCAAAGCGATGTATTCGAACGGCCAACTGGACAATGTCGAAGATGACGGGTTGGTCCATAGTGTGCTAGCTCTCCTCACAAATATCAGATAGATGCGAGAAACTCGAGCATACTAGCAGAGAGTGTGAAGAATCAAGATGCAAATCGACGTATATCCGAGAAATTCAAAGGGCACTAGTGATACACACACATATAGTGTTGTGGGTAAATGGCGCTTGATTGTATACATACGCAGGAAGCGTATAACTAGTAAAGTAAGCTTCTGATTGTAAGCGGCTCTTCGACTAGCTCTAGTAGAGAGTAAGCTAAGCACTCAGCGCTCTCTTGAAGAGTGTTACAGCTGATTAGATCTTGTGACTGAACAGGCTGCTTTATCATTAGAAAAACTCTCAAATGAGTATCGCATTGTGTGATTTTTGAACTCACATACGTCTGATCTTCTCTAGTGTGTAATATAGATAGCGACGGATAATAGTGTTAGCAGGAGAGTCAATTTAGAAGAAACCCATGCGAAGTGTCGTTTAGTATTTTTCGTGGAAAATAGTCTATATAGTTGGTAAGGGGTGGGGCGGATTACACTGCACTCGCTGACTTCGGCGAACTTAGGGTAGAGTTGGTGTGGCACAAGGATCTAAAAGGGACGAATCTAAAGAAGCTGATATTCAGCATTGCGTATACTACTGTGTACTTTGTCAGCATCATTCAATCCGCAAAAAGAAGGAAACAT